CTTAATCCAGTTTAAGTGCATCTGCATTTGGAGTTTGCGCTGGTGTAACTAGACTGATTTTAAATAGGTTTAGTCTCACCAGGACTACTTTTTTAATACAGACAAGCCCTAAGCACTCCTTCCTCCCAAAGGCTTATGGTTGGATCCTGTGGCGGTGAAGATGTGGGTTGTGAGAGAGCGGTGGCGGTGCTGAGGCCAGAAGGGATGCTGAGCATAATGCTCTATTTACTCACTACCCAGTAAAGTGAGTGGGTGCTACAGGCAGACGGGCTGGTAAGAACACCGTGCCCAGCATCACCATCAGGCATTGAGCAGCTGGCTAGGAGGAATACTGTTTTAATTTACCTCCTTGAACACATTTTATGTGAGTGCGCTTCCTACTCTTGCCATTCTCACTGAATAAATATATAATTGCACCCCGGAATACCTGAACATCCTAAAACTAGCCACTACGCATGTCCTTTGAATTTACCGGATCGATATAAACCAGGCCCATACCCGGTCTCCGCCCATGCGCGCACCTCCCACTCCATTCACCATTTCTCATGTTAGATTGGATGTAGAAGTTTGCTCATTGCTGATGCTGAGCAAAAACGGAGTGATCAGCACTAGTGCTTTGTCCCTCTGTAGTTCTTACATCAATGCTTAGCAGCTTGCAGGATCAACTCCTTTGTGCTAGGCCCATCCAGCACTCCCATCCCTGGTGCTTCAGGATGGAAAAAGTAAGCTAGAACCCTAGACTAGGATCTCAGATGTGGCAGCATATTGTGCTGTGTCTAAACTACTGGCCGGACACATTCATGACTTTTTGGTAATAATCGTTTCTAACCTGTTATGAATAATGAAAATCCAGAAATATCTATTCAAAAGTCTGTCATCAGGGTAGCCCATCTTGGTGCTTGTTCTTGAGAGGCTTTGGGGCCTGACTCTGATCTCATGTACGTAGGTGTAACTCAGAAATCACTCAATTGAAGTTAATGGAGTTACACTGGGGTAAAACCAGTGTGAGAACAGAATTAGGCCCCTGCAGCCAAATCCTCAGACTCCACTCCAGCTCGTTTGTGCCGCTACAGTGCAAGATGCCAGAAGGTTGTCCTAACAGAGCAGCTGGGGATTCTCCAGCCCGGGGGAATACCTGGCTGGTACAGAGTGGTTGCAGTTGGTTCTACACCATCCCCTCTTAGTTCTTTTCCCAGGATTGAGGTTGTGCATTTCATAGACTCATAGACTTAAAGGTCAGACCTGACCTCCCACATGATGCAGGCCACAAAAACTGACCCACCCACTTTCCCTTAACTCAGCTGTTGAAGTCTCCAGATCGTGATTTAAAGACTTCAAGTCGCAGAGAATCCTCCAGCTTGCGACCCCAGGGATAATGCCAATGGCTGCTAGGGGATAGTTGGCGTAGGTTAGAGCAACCTTAGGGCTTCTCTAAGATGTGCCGTTAGAACTAGGGGAGCACAAAGGTGGTTTAAAGCCACCTTTGCCCACTCCCTTAATTCCTGCACTGAGTTTAGATCATCTGAGTTTAGATCATCTGGTGTTTTACTACTCAGGTGGGCAAGGCTGGCAGCACTAATGTTTGTGCATTAATTTATTTCCTGTGATAGGGTGGCAGTGTCACAAAAGATTAGCAGAACCCTAATTCAATGACAAGGTGACTCTGGGGTGATAAGTGGGCTGTACTTAACTGGCTCTTTAAAATGGGTAGCCTCCCTGTGATGGAGAAAAGAGAGGTATACATTCTGCATAATAGAAAGAGCATGACATTTTCTTATTACACATGGCCTGTAGCTATATTACATTGAGCTGTGGTTCTATCGCATCACATAAACAGGGTTAGGTTTGGTTAGGAGATTACCAAGAAACAGCTCTGTAGTGTAGGAAGTGGTGGTGATGATTCAACAGGTGGTATTTTTTCTTTTTCTTTCTTTTATTCTTTCAGTTGGTACTGAACCAACTACATAGTGTTAGGGAGCACTGTGCTGCTGAAGGTGGTGTCTCAGATGAGATGTACAACGGAGGTCTTGACTGTTCTGTAGTCATTAAAGATCCCATGGAACATTTTCCAGGAATAGGAGTTTGCTTGCTGTCCTGGCAAAATTCCAACTCAGATAATTACATTCTTTGTATCTGAAATTCACTCTCAACTGGTTATGGGATTTTTCTTCACCTCTTATTCCCTGTTGTGTACTGGTGCTATTAAACAGCTGCTACATTCTCCACACAAATGGGTGACATTATTTCTACCATATTTAGTTTGTAGATCATCTTACCAGATTTTTTAAACCCTTAGGAATTAGGGCTCTCAAGGTTTCCAAGATCATTCTGATTTTTATTTTTTTAATACCACAAGCAGTTCTTAGGTCTAGAAATTGCTATCAGGGTCTATGGGTCATCGTCATGACATGTTGTATAACAGCTTGTCTACAAGGGAAAGTTTTACCAGTTATACCAGTATGATTAAACAGATATAGTTATATTGGTATAACTCCCTGTGTGGCTCTGATTTTGGAATAAATATCTTTTTTCAGGTTAGTATAAACCACTTTCAAAGTGACAAAACTAAACTGAAAAAAAAAAGACCTCTTATACTAGAAGACTGTCCGCATGTGGATTTATGCCAGTATAACTGTAGCTGTTTAAATTTACACCTTAGTTTATCTATATAAGAAGATTTCAGGATTGTCACTCTGAAGCCTAGAATGTCAGTTGAGTCAGTTTGAAGTGATGAAGACAGCTACAAGCTTGGCTGGGAGCTCTTTTTGTTCAGAATATCGCCAGGTTGAATATCACTGGGTTTCGCCTTTAGATGCAATGCAATGATATTTCAATGCAACAGTTTCTTGATATGATGATATTATGATTTAATGGGATGATGATGCAGCAAAACATCATGTTTCATTGGGATGTAAATGTAAATGAACCTAAAAAGCTGACTGCCCTATGTGGGAATTATTTTATTATATATTTTATGATAGTGCCTAGAGCTCCCAACCAAGATTGGGACTCGTGGCAGGCCCTGTACAAACATAGTGTGAGAGACAGTCCCTGCCCAATAGAATTCATAATCTAAACAGACAATGCAGACAAAGGGTGCGGGAAAAGAAGATTATCCCCATTTTACAGATAGGGAAATGAGCTAAAGAAACGTTAAGAGTAAAATTTTCAAAAGCACACAGATGGTGCTTGAGACTTAGGCTCTTATGTCACTTTTGAAAATGGCACTTAGATTCCTAAGTCACATAGATATATTTGAAAAAAATTCCCCAAATTACTTGCATAAAGTTAGTCACAGAATCGTAGGACTGGAAGGGACCTCGAGAGTTCATTTAGTCCAGTCCCCTGCACTCATGGCAGGACTAATACACATTCTTTGGACGACATGTTGAAGCATGAGTTTATTCAGTGCAAAAAGACATCATCTGCACAGTATACGCACAAAGGATCAGATTTTCAGAAAAGAAAATGCAGATCTAATTTGCATACACAATGCATAAATTGGGTAATTGCATATAAAAATTACACCTAATTACAGTTTGCATATGGATATGCACTGCAACCGTTATAATTATGTGTGCAAAGTATTTACACTTTTTGCCTTCATTTGCAGGCTAACTTTTTTGAAAATCTGGCCTAAAAAGTACTTTTTCCATATGTAAAGTTCCACAGTCAGACATGCAGGCACAGAATTACACACATGGACCACACAAGGTTATATGTACAACGTTTTGCACATGTGCACATGCAATTAAAGTTATACATATGTATGTACAATTACTCATTCATAATTGCTGTTTAACAATTGCACATGCATACACACACACGTATGCACAGTTACAAGAATACACGTATACAATCCAAGGCACACACAAGCATGCAAACAACTGCACACAAATACTCATGTGCCTAGTTACACACATGTGTAGTTGCGTGCACACATACAGACGACAGCTGCCTATACACAATGACACACACAGATGCAATGGCTGAGTTGCACACACAAGCACCTTTGCGCACAACACTGCACTACTGCCCACAAATGCAATGGACTGCTGCATATGCACAGTTACACACATACACAACAGCACCATATGCACAATTGCTCCCATCCAGACATGCAATGGACAGACAGCCTGTGAATGCGCGCGCACACACACACATACACACACAACTTGTGTACACACAGACTTGTAAGGAACAGCTCCACGTGGCCCACAGCACACACATGCCTAGTGGCTCCCACGCACATGCCATTGACCGCCGCATAAGTGGACGCACACTGACAGCTAAGGGACACCTGCCTGTGCACAGCAGTTGCGCGCACACGCAGCTACCCCCGGTGTACACATCGCAAGGCCGGTCCCTCGGTGGGGAAGAGAAACGCGGCGGATCCGGGCTGCTCCCCCGGCTCCGCCCCGCTTCCCTCCCCCGCCGGCTCCGCCCCGGAGGCCGGCACGCTGGCTCGCTCCCTGCCTGGGAACATGGCTGAAGTCGGGGAGGACAGTAGCGGGGCCCGGGCCCTGCTGGCGCTGCGCTCGGCGCCCTGCAGCCCGGCCGCGGCGCCC